CAGGCTGGGGAACTCCCTTCTTGCCAGTGTTGAGACAGAAAAGGATCTTGGAGTCATCATTGATGCCACAATGATCATGGGCCGTCAGTGTGGGGACGCGGTCAGGAAGGCCAACCATACCTTGTCGTGCATCCACAGATGCATCTCAAGCAGGTCCAAGGAGGTGATCCTCCCCCTCTATGCAACACTGGTCAGGCTGCAGCTGGAGTACTGCATCCAGTTCTGTGCGCCGCACTTCAGGAGGGATGTGGTCAGTATGGAGAGGGCCCAAAGGAGGGCCACCTGCATGATCAGGGGTCAGCAGGGCAGGCCCTACGAGGAGAGGCTGAGGGACTTGAACCTGTTCAGCCTCCAAAAGAGAAGGCTGAGAGGTGATCTAGTGGCCTACAAACTAGTCAAGGGGGACCAGCAGGCATTGGGAGAGTCCCTGTTCCCCCGAGCAATCCCGGGAGTTACACGAAACAATGGACACAAGCTAGCGGAGGGTAGTTTCAGGCTAGACATCAGGAAGCGCTATTTCACTGTCAGGGTGGATAGGACCTGGAACCAACTTCCAAAATAAGTGGTGCTGGCTCCTACCCTGGGGGTCTTTAAAAAAAAAAGGCTGGACGAACATCTGGCTGGGGTCATTTGACCCCAGTTCTCTTTCCTGCCACAGCAGGGGGTCAGACTAGATGATCTCCTCAGGTCCCTTCCGACCCTACAACCTATGAAACTATAGCGTTTCACTCTTTAGAGTTGTTAAACAGGTAATGTAAAGTAATGTAATGTGATGGGATAATTCATAGGCAATTTTTGCTGTATGGATTCTTACCAGACTGCTGTCTCCTTCATCTGCTTGAATTTTCTTATCAGTCTTAAGCCAGTTAGGTATATGATGACTTCAGTGCTGCCCTCTTTTCTTGTATGAATGTGTTTTTGTTTGTTTTTTGCTACTCCTATACCATTATTTGGATCCTGAAAATTGGTGATGGTGAGGGGTGTCTTCTGTTTTTACTCTTGTACCTCTTCTCAAGTCTTTGTTTTAGGAGTTCTTTCAATAGATAGACCAACTTGCATGGCAAATCATGGAACGGAGGTAAAGTTAGTTTGGAGTGATCTATCCCATCAGCCTTAAGGGTTACCAGTAGTTGTAGCGAAGTTCAATCATGTCTTACTATTTTCACTTCATTGGGTAAAGTAAAAATATCTGGCTGCTGGGAAAAGCTGCAAACAGTGGCGGAGATGCTGGGGTGCCTTTTTTTTTTTTTTTTTTTTTTTTTTTTTTTTTTTTTCAGAGATGGCACTGCATAGTCTGTGACTTTGTTCCATGGGTCACAGACCAACTTCTGATTGGCTTAGCCAACTCTGTCTGGAGTAGTCTATAGGACTTGAAACTTCATTCATAAAGATTGTAACCCTTTGTTTGAGAACCATTGGCATAGCTATCTGAATGGGGATCTGTCTTCACATCAATAAGGACTAGCAATTTTTTTTCCCTGCAAATGAAAGTTTACTTTTTAGCCAAATTGATATCTTCCTTGTGTCCAGCTTTTCATTTTTTAGTGGCAGGTAGGCTCGTTCTGTAGTGTCTTGTGAATTTCCAGAGCCACTTTTGACTTTTGCCAACTTTAATTGGCCAAGACTGTTACTACTTATATGTTGGGCTTTTTTTTTTTTTTTTTTTTTTTTTTAAGTGCAAGAAACTACTTGTTTGGGAAAAATATTGCTTATAAGCAAGACTCTGGGGTGAAAAGTAAGAGGAAACAATCTTTTTTTTAATTGAAAGTACTCCCTTTTCTTTGAAAATCTGGAATCAAACTGTCTGCTGCAAGGGAAGATAGTGCAAAAGATGGTATAGTATTGCCCTTTAAGATCCTATCAGACTGAAGACACCAACAATTTAAATTTACTAGCATTTTTAAAAATGTAACTTTGAAATTCAAGCTAGGGTGCAAAGTCTAAAGTTAAGAGTTTGGGTTAAACAGACCTGCTCACCTCCACTTACAATTTTTGAGTCTTGTATCAGCAGCTCACAAGCTGTGTGCATGTGTATGTTATGGCAGGACAGCATAGATCACCATTCACTAGCCTGGTTCCAGTTTTTGTGTAACAAAACATTATTCTTCCCTTGAATTATGTAAAGTAAGATACTTCCTCCAAGGCTAGCTGCAGGGAATATGTACTTCCATAAACTTGCATCTTTAGGCAAGCGATGCAACTTTTTAGGCCTCCATTTTCTTACCAGTAAAATTAATACAATGCTTAGAGCAGCATTCTCATACTCCATTCTTTTTGTTGATGCATTGTGTTTCTTGTCCAGCCTTCAGGGCAAAGTAATATATTTTAAAAGGATATTTAATACTCTGGTATAAATCTTGACATTTGATGTGTGCTGTTATTTTTGGTTTGGTTTTTTTTTTCCTGTGAGAGTTTATGGTTTAACCTTAAATAATGTCATTGAGACACACATTTTAACAAGAAAGTTTATCTGAATAATAGTTAAAAAGCATCTTTGCTTTATTTTTTCCAAGCCATCTTGGTGCATTCTTATCAATGTGGAGAATTATTTCTCAGCGCCTGTTGAAGTTTACTAATGCTTGGTGTATTAAGTATGACGAGATGAACAGCAAAAACGTTTCATTTATTTCTAACCACTTCTCTCTTTCTTTGTTATCCTTACGGTGAATAAGTTCTTGATTATTGTGCTCCGTGTGACTGGCCAAAGTGGAAGTAATACTTTTGAGCTTGAAGAAAAAAACTTTGAGAGATTCAAAAAGGGACTTAAATGTTTGGATGCCAAGTGCTCCCAAACTTAAACTTTCCATGTCTGGCTTTGGGGGTGGAACTCACAAACCTTACTTAAGGCTACTGTTAAATTCCAGATACTTGAAATGAGGTGACTAATTGCTAAGATTCACAAAGCATAGTGTGCTGAGTTGAGGTTTGGGGGATACTTCAGCCAGCCAGTGAGAAGTGCGGAGAAGGTGAGGTTTCAGAAACACTCCCTATTTTGCAGGTTTATTTAGGCATCTCCCAGTTATTCTGAGTTGGGTTTCTGTGATAGAGTGGGATTTGCAGACTGAAACCCCCACCTTGATGTGTAGGCACTTATGGTAGTGCTTGCCTCTTGTCTACTAGTTTGTTGGTTAGAACAATAGCCCAATAGCCTGTTGGCAGGAGACTTGGATTATAGGTCTTTCTAACCCTGAGGGACCTAAGCACTGCAGTAGACCAGGCTGTGACATGAGCAGTCTCCTCTCTTGTTGCAATTCAGAAAGCTTGGAGACACACTGAGGTAGCCAGCAGGAAATGCTAAAAACTGGTGTGTATTTGAAATTTTGCTTTTCTCAGGAGCTTTTAGTCTCTTCACTTACGCTATCCATTAGAAATCTCCATTCACTTGTGATGCAGAATGCCTAATCTCGTGTCTAAGGTTAGCTGTCTAATGGGTTTCTGAAGAGGGTGTGGTGGTGCCACCAACCTTTTTGTGCAGTAGCTTAGTGATTAAAGCACCTGGAAGTTGGAGACCTGGATGTGCACCCTTCTTAGTCTGGTGGGATTTGAGCCTGTATGTCTTGCTTCCCAGGAGAATGTCCTAACCACCAGGTTAGAACGGTCTGGGTAAGAGTACTTTACTACTACTTCTGTCTGAAGTTGGAGCATCGAGCAGCAAATCAGGCAAGAGGAGTAGAAAATGCAGTCATCTAACTTACAAACTGGTGGTAGGGCACTTCCCTGGAGTGTGGAAGATGTGTATTCAAATCACCTCATGCTGGAATTCAGGTCTTCTATTTTTGGGTAAGTTCCCTAACCAATACGTTTTGCGGGGGATGGGGGGAGAATGGACACCACCCTTTCTAGTCTTACTTACTGGGAAATGTGAAATTAGGATTGTAAATTAAACAGAGATGAATGTGTGCATGAGTTTCTTACTGTTATTTCTCTGCACAAAAATATGTATGTGGACACATTGGAGAGAGTCCAGCAGAGGGCAACAAAAATGGTGAGTGAGCTGGGGCGCATGACTTGTGAAGAGAGGCTGAGGGAACTGGGGTTATTTAGTCTAGAGAAGACTGAGAGGGGATTTAATAGCAGCCTTGAACTACCTGAAGTGGGGTTTGAAAGAGGATGAAGCTGGACTTTTTCTCAGTGGTGGCAGATGACAGAACAAGGAGCAATGGTCTCAAGTTTCAGCAAGAGATGTTTAGGTTGGATATTAGGAAGAGTTTTTGAACTAGGAGGGTAGTAAAACCCTGGAACAGGTTACCTAGAGAGGTGGTAGGATCTCTATCCTCAGAGGTTTTTAAGATCCAGCTAGACAAAACCTTGCTGGGATGATCTAGATGGGGGATGGTCCTGCCTTGAGCAAGGGGTTGGACTAGATGGCTGCCTGAGGTCCTTCCCAACCCTAATTTTCTGATTTGGATCATAGTAGACCTACTTCTTACTTCCTGTCATATCCACAACTAATTGCTTGATTTAAAAGACCAGTTGTATAGCTGAAGCCTTGGGAGTTTTTGACTTTTTGAATAATTCAAATCACGTGTTAAATCAGGAGCATCTCATTAAGCAATATAGACCTACTTGAAAAATCCTTAAGTTTTTCTGAGTCCTTTAAAGTGACTTGAGTTTCAATTAAATTAATTTTAATTTTGCTAATGACTGCAGATGTATGGCAAACATCCAGTGCTAGAACAGAAAACACAATGTTTGTTCTATTTATTGAAACCCTAAGGATTTTAGTCTGATATAGTGAGTTAAGATGGTGATGTGTACAATAAGTATTCAGACATGTTTGAACTGTCTGATGGGACATCTGATTTGTGATTAGAAAACTCACTTAAATGGCTATAAGCTGATAGTTTTGCAATGAGACTTAATATCTGGAAATTCATAGCTTTCCATTTTGCCCTTCTAGATCTTACTGTATTTTGAGTGTGTATATTTTGATCAGGGGTTTAGGTTGTAGCCGTATTGGTCTAAGGATATAGGCAGACAAGGTTCCTTGGGTGAATTTGATATCTTTTATTAGACCAACCCAAATGGTTGGAGAATAGTTATTAAGCAAGCTTTCGGGTTCAAAAACCCTTCGTCAGGCTCAGGAAGCTGCAGCAGTTGGTGTGTGCTCTTCCTGGATGGAATGAAAAGTAAACAAGCTTGCTTAATAACTATTCTCCAACCATTTGGGTTGGTCTAATAAAAGATATCAAATTCACCCAAGGAACCTTGTCTGCCTATATTTTGATCAGGAATAAGTATGTTCTCAAATTCCAAATGCAATTAATGCCCCTGTTCAGTTGCAACAAAAATGTGACTTAAATAGGAAAAAATGTAAGTATTAACATGTACTGTGTTCTTTATAATACTTGTTTTGGTTTAAAGTATTTCTTAGTCCTTCAGATGCCACTTCATCTGTGAATTAGTACATTTATGATATTTTTCTGCTGACAAAGTACAGTAGCAGATTTTATCCTCATCCTGCTCTATATACCCTGTGGTGTACAGTTCAACATGAAGTTTTCCCAGAGCTGTAAAAATGCATTTGAAAAACTTTTTGATTAATTCACATTTTCTTATAGTGTAAGCTTAGGTTCCTAATGGCTTTGAGTATCATATTGTAACTTTCAGTTGTTTTTGTTGTTGCTATATTATATCAGTGGTGCACAGCCTTTTGGCCCCATGGGCCAGGTGAGTGGAGTGGGTCTGGTGTGTGGGCTGGATCAAGCCCCATGTGTCAGAATTAGGCCCTGGGGTCTGGCACTGCCCCCTTCCCGCCCTGCCTGCTGGGATTGGGCCCTGGGGGCCCAATGCTGCCTCTGCCCAGCCCTGTATGCTTGGATTGGGTGCGTGGTATAGTGCGGAGGGCCTGGGGCTCCCCACAAGTCTGAAAATTTGGTATTGGGAGTGGTGCCATTGTTCTCTGGGTGTCATATTTCTGGACATGGGGAGCCCTGTGGGCCAGGGGTTGATCACCTTTGTACTATGCAGTTCAGAACACTTTCTGAGGATATCCCTAAATATAGCAAAACCTACTAAAAGTTGCCATTTTTTAATTTATATGATACTAATAAAACTTTGTGCAATTATCTGTTGATCTTTCTACCAATGATGGAGTTCTCCCAAGTAAGGGTTATTTTTCTTTTTTTGTTTTTTTTTTTTACAGCACGGGATTCCACTAGCATAGGCCAAAAGACACCTTTCTCACAAAACTCAATCCAAGTAAAAGGTAAAGATGTACATTATTGTTTTGTAACTTTACCGTTGTATTGTTATGTTTCTTTTATAAGATATCTGCATGTTTTAGAAGATGGAGGAAATTAATTTTTAAAAGCGGATCTTCTGGTGTTCAATTATTAAATGTATATAGTAGTTTTAGGCTTTTCTACTCAAAACTTGTGAACAAAATCTATAAATCTGTAAATAACATGACATTTGTGAAAAAACAATTGTATACAAAGTTATAGCATGGTATCTTTATATAAAGATTATTACCAGAAAATGCTGATTATTCATTGCACCTTGAACATACTAGTAAGTGTTACTTCTGTAAGTCAACTTCTTCCTTTAAAACTTATGCACATTTTCCTCTCTGTTCTTCATGAGAGGCAAAATTCTAATAAATCTGAACTGCTATATTTTCCTTTAAATCCTTTTTAAGTTTCACCTCTCCTGCAGTGCCTCCTGTCATGGATCATGCCCCTTTCAGGGGAAGCTCTATCTTGGGACTGCCCAAGAAGCAGACTTATTTGGTCTCCCTTTCCTGAGGACCCCCTGAAGCTGGCCCTGGTGTGGCTTCTCAAGCCTTTGGCTCAAGACCCTGGCTTCTCTTTGTCCTTGGCTTCCCTGGCAATCTGTAGAACACCTGCCTCAGGTCAGCTCCTGGGAAGGGGATTGTTTCCTCCCGTCAGAGTGCCAGTGTCCCAGCCAGCCCAGCAGACACCTTGGCTCCAAACAAACAGTTTTTACGGTGATGCTGCAGTTTCCTCTTTCCTTCCTTGACTTCTGTTGTTCCTGAAACTACTCATTTTTCTCTACTGTGTACTGCTTGGGGCAGCTTTTCTCTCTCTCACTCTTTCAGAATATCATTCTGGGACAGATAGCTGTACTGGCAACAAAACTGTTACAAAATTATAGTACTCAAGATGGGTCCTAACAGGTCCCCAGCAAAAGTAAAAATAATGTTATTGGAAACCAATTGGAGAGTAGCTTCTGCAGTCTGCTGCCAGGCTGAGACTGCCATCTGCCCCTGGGGTGAAAAGAGCTTATAGGTGCTTTGCTTATAAAGCCATTTACCAGCACTATTTTATAGCAAAGCGTGCTCTACTGCCCCTCCCCCACCCCCTCCAAAAAAAAGTTCCCCACCAGAACTGCCTGCTAGAACTTAGCCCACCAAACCTTTCTGTCACATCTTTTGGGTTATGGCTAGACAGATGACTAGCTGTGTTTAAATGTAAAAGGGTTTAAAAAAAAAAAAAAAGAAGAAAGACCTAGCCTTTGAGTATTTAGATTATAAATCTTTTCAGAGCGTGGGATCTTTTTGTATATACAACATCTAGCAAAATAGGACTATAGGCTGCTGAGCACTGTCATAGCCTAATATTAATTTCTCTGCATATTACTAGGGCTATGTACAGGCATTGTTTCTGCTGGGAGAATTGACACTTGTCCAGTAAAGTTGCTAGCGTACAGGCATACATTCAGTTATTTATGGAGGAAACATACCTCAGCTGTGAGAGAGCTTGCACTATGACACCTGAAAGATCTCCCTTGCAAGAGTGTTTGTTGCTACAATGGATATGTGTGCAGTAGGCTTCTCTGTATGTAGGAGGAATTGAATAACAGATTCCCTGTGCCCCCCTTTGGCCCATGGACCCCAGTCAGGAAAGTTTCATAGTAGGTAGGGTTGGAAGGGACCTGAGCAGATCATTAAGTCCGACCCCCTGCCATAGGCAGGAAAGAATGCTGGGGTCAAATGATCCCGGCTAGGTGATCATCTAGCCTCCTTCTGAAGACCCCCAGGGTAGGAGTGAGCACCGCTTCCCTTGGAAGTTGGTTCCAGATCCTAGCCGCCCTGGCTGTGAAGTAGTGCCTCCTGATATCTAGCCTGAATCTACTCTTGGTCAATTTATGGCTGTTATTCCTCATTATTCCTGGTAGTGCTCGGGGTAACAGGGACTCTCCCATAGCCTGCTGGTCCCTGCTGGGCCAGTTTGTAGATGGCCACCAGATCCCCTCTCAGCCTTCTCTTGTGGAGGCTGAACAGGTTCAGGTCTCATAACCTCTCCTTGAAGGGCCTGCCCTGCTGCCCCTGATCATGCGAGTGGCCCTTCTCTGGACACTCTCGATGTTGTTCACATCCCTCCTGAAGTGCGGCACCCAGAACTGGATGCAGTACTCCAACTGCGGCCTGACCAGTGTCACATAGAGGAGGAGGATCTCTTCCTTGAGCCTGCTCGTGTTGCATCTGTGGATGCATGACAAGGTGCGGTTAGCCTTCCTAACCGCATCCCCACATTGGCAGCCCATGTTCATTTTGGAATCAATAATGACACCAAGATCCTTTTCTGCCTCTGTGCTGATGAGAAGGGAGTTCCCCAGCCTGTAGGTATGTTGCTGGTTTATCCTCCCCAGGTGCAGTACTTTGCACTCGTCAGTGTTGAAACCCATCCTGTTCTCATCTTCCCACCCGTGTAACCTGTCTAGATCTAGTTGCAGCCTGTCCCTCTCCTCCAGTGTGCCCACTTCTCCCCACATCTTAGTGTCATCAGTGAATTTGAACAAGGTGCTTTCCACCCCCTCATCCAAGTCGCTGATGAAGATGTTGAACAGTCCGAGGACTGAGTTCTGGGTGACCCCAATGCCCACATCCCTCCAGGTCAAAAAAGATTCATCCACCACCACTCTCTGGGTGTGGCCCTCCAACCAATTTGTGACCCATCTGACTGTGTAGGCATTGATGCCACAGTCACTTAATTTCTTAATGAGAATGGGGTGAGAGACAGTGTCGAAGGCCTTCCTAAAGTCCAGAAAGACTACGTCCACCGTGACACCAGTGTCCAAGGATTTTGTGACCTGGTTGTAGAAGGCCACCAGGTTGGTCTGACAGGAAGTGCCTCAAATGAACCCATGTTTGTGGATGCTTTTGGTGAGCTATGGGGACTTTTGAGAATGATCTCTCCTGCTGGTCCCTCACAGATGTGCTCCTGGATAAGTTTCTCAAAGAGCTTCCCCAACACTCTCGGGTGGAGATTGTCAGGACCTGCTGACTTGAACATGTCTATACCCACCAGAAGTTCCCTGACTAGGTCCTCACTGACCCTGGGCCTGGTAGCACCTCCCCTGGGTCCGTCGGGGATCCCAGTGTGGGGGATGCCCCGGTCCCTGCTCAAAAAATGGAGGCAAAGAAATTGTTAAAGAGGTTAGCTTTGTCATCTGGTGTGAACATCAGATTTCCTAGTGTATTCTGCAGAGAATACCTTGTATTCTCCACAGAATACACTACGTTACCCTGTACCTTCTTTTTACCCCCTATGTGTTTAAAAAAGGCCTTCTTGTTATCCTTGATCCAGGTCGCTAGTCCCAGTTCCATCTCCGCCGTAGCCTTCCTAACAGCCCCTCTACAATCTCGGGTAATTGAGGTATAATCCTCCTTGGTGATGGCCCCTCCTTTCCATTTGGTGTACGCCTCCTTTTTAGCTTTGAGACGTTCGTGGATGCTTTTGGTGAGCCATGGGGGCTTTTGAGCACTGCTGCCCCCTTTGATCTGCGTGGGGATTGTCCTCCTTTGGGCTTGGAGGATCATCTCCTTAAGGAACGACCACTCTTCTTGGAATCCCAATTCCCCTCCCCTCCAGGACCCAGTGTCTCCCCGACTAGTCTCCTTACCTCATTGAAATCTGCCCTCCTGAAGTCCAGGGCTGCTGTCTTGCTGCAGGCCTTTGACACCCTGCGCTGGATGGTGAATTCCAGTAGGCGATGATCGCTATTGTCCAGGTGGTCGAGAACCCGCAGTCCACTCACCAGGTCATCGCCCAGGACCAGGTCCAACAAGGCATTTCTCCTGGTGGGACTGTGCACCTCCTGGGTTAGATGGAGGGCCTGTAACTCGGCTAGGAACCTACGTGAGCAGTCAGACCTGGCTGACTGCTCTTCCCAGCAGATGTCTGGATAGTTTAGGTCACCCATGATGACCACGTCCTTTGACTTAACTGCCTCCGCAAGCTGACCTGAGAATTCCCGGTCCAGCTCTTCCCCCTGGTTGGGTGGCCTGTAGTAAACCCCTACCATTAAGTCCCTTTCCCCCTGACCCCCTTGTATATGGACCCAGAGCACCTCAGTCTGCCCCTCCTCTTACCCAGTGCTGTTTGTTGAGGATGTGTATTGCTCTTTGACGTAGAGTGCCACACCCCCACCTTTCCTCCCTGTTCTATCCCTCCTGTACAGCCTGTAGCTGCTGATGTTTACTGCCAAGTCATGCGTTGGATCCCACCAAGTCCAGGTTAGTGTTAGCTAGCAGGAGGGCAAGTTCCTCCTGCTTGTTCCCCATACTACGAGCATTAGTGTAGAGGCATTTAAGGCCTCCTGAAGGTGCATGCACTGCCCCCCTAATCCCAGGACTATCTGGGCCCCTGTCTCTTACCTGGGTATTTCTTGTGCTCGTTGCCTGTCTTGTCTGGGCTGTTCTTGTGGGTGGTTCTTTTTTCGGTGTTCTGTGGCTCCCTCCATCCTCAACTTCCCCTTCTGCTTCCCCTGACGAACCTAGTTTAAAGCCCGCCAGAGGAGATTGGCCAACCTGAAAGAGCACATGCTTACCTTTGGGGGAGAAGTGGAGCCCATCCCACCCAAGCATGTCTCTTGTCCTGAAGGACGGATCGTGGTCCAAAAAGCTGAAGCCCTCCTCGAGACGCTGTTTCCGAAGCCGCAGGTTGACCTCCCTGATGCAGGACTCATGGTGTTGTCCATGTCTGCTCTCTGGAAGGACAGATGAGAAGACCACCTGTGCCCCTATCTCCTTCAGCTTGCTCCCCAGGGCTTGGTAGTCCTTCATCAGGTGATCGGGGCTGCTCCTGGCCGCATCATTAGTGCCCTCATGGATTAGGACCATGGGGTAGTAGTCGGTGGGCTGGATAATGGCTGGGATCATCTCTGTCACATTCTGAATCCTTACTCCAGACAGACAGTAGACCTCACGTGACATGGGATCCTGGCGACAGATGGAACCCTCTG